CATTCAGGATTCATAAACTTTCACCGTTTGAAATAATCACAGGATGGTCATTGCTTTTAGCCCCTGCTTCCTTTGACCCACAGCTGGTGAAAGGGCACATAGTTCAGTTCTGCAAGGGTCTAATTAAATCCATTGGGAATGATCAAGCTGTGGTAGAACAGTCTTTTCACAGTGTGCTCCCGGGAGGTAAAGACGTCAAACATCACGCTTTACAGCCTGGAGACTTCACCTACTGGAATAGACGTCTCCATAGAGACTCCCTCCTGCCTCTCGTTGGAAGGGCCTCTACCAGTTGTTACTGACTAACCCCTGTGCTGCCAAGCTCCAAGAGGCAGACTGCTGGATTCACGTGTCCCGTCTAAAAAAGGCCCCAAAACCTGAGTGGACCTGTACCCCAACTGGTGACTAAAAGCTAAAAATTGCGAAGGACTGAAGCAGACGACATCAGAAGTGGACAGCTTTCTTGAAATATCTGCACCAGGCCTTAGCCCCATTCTGTATTGCTCAACCGAGTCATGCTGCCTAAGGCTGTGATTGTCCTTTTCTGGCCTCCTTGCTGCCCTCTAGTTTGACTGTAATGTTCCTCTTTGTTCCCACCTTACAAAAACTCTTGCTGATTGTTGGATTTGCGCTAGAGTTAATAACACTCGTGATGAACCTGAACTGGTGGCCTGGCTCTTATCCTTAGAAGGATGGTGAAGTCTGTCTGGCAGAGATGTAGGATTTTCCTCTGTTACCTTTGAAGCCGTACATGTTCTTCGGTAAATTGGCACCAGACATTACAGCATTCCATTGGGTGCCCCTCAGCCGTAAAGGAATACACCCAAGTCCAGACTACCCAAAACTTTTCTCTGTGTTTCAAAAACATTAACGGGACTGGCAAAACTCTAGGTTACCTCTGGCTAAACACTTGTAACTATAAAATTGTCTATAACTCAGATGATCGTGAGTTCATTCACCACCGGGGTCTAGGAGACTGTAACGTCTCCTCCATTAATGTATCTCTGGTGTGGTAATGAAAATTATAACATCAGTGGTACCTCATGGGGAATTGATAAAAAATTCGGTGAATGGTAGGAACTTAATTCAACCTCCCTTCTCCCTGGAAAGTCCCCAGACCTTCATCAGAACCTCACCGACAACTATCAGACTCACCTAATACTCCAAATATATCAAAATTTGAGATGTTCCTATAACCATTCCCACTGCACTAACAATGCCAGTTAACATGTTGTGTGTAAATGACTGTGTTTTTGATCATGAGATCTCTATTCCAGGAAAAAAAATCAGGGCCAGAGGGCCTACTTACGCCCTCTCTTTAGAAAACACTGGTTATTTCTTTCTATGTGGAAGAAACTTATATTCCACACTGCCCCTTAAATGGAAAGGACGCCGTAGAGTTGTTGCTCTCACTCCTGATGCCGAAGTCAGGAAGACCTTTCCTTCCACTGCCCACGTGCCCAATTTGGGTTCTTTCTCCTCCCGACTTATAAGAGCACATTGTAGTTGAGATCGGTACAATTTTGGGTGGGTGCCCACAAATACTGCCATAGTAGATAGAAAGGGATTTGGGCGTTCCTTTGCTTGAGTCTTTTTCCCTTGGGATGGAGTAGCAGAACTTGAAAAGGCAGTTTGGAATCTCTCCATAGTCATGGCTACTACCTTTAATGTTTCTGTTAGAGCTTTTGAATATCAACAAACCAAATACCCTAGGAAGTAGTTTTACAAAACCGCAGTGCCCTGAACCTCCTCACTGCACAGCAGGGAGGAACCTGTGTCCTGCTTGGGGAAGAATGCTGTTTTTATGTTAAATCGGGGAAGAGAACGCAATAATTAAGAAGAATGAAAGATAATATCAAACTTAACTGAAATAGTCAAGCCCCAGGGACCCAGGATGTTTTCAACCTATTAAATATAGGTAGCTGGGGAAACTGGTTGAGAAGTTTATTCCAGTCAATAGCTATAATTGGACTTAGGGCCCTGGGTATAATCCTCCTAATTAAATTTCTACTGTCTTGTATTAGCAGGCAAATCCCTTTCTCCCAGATGTATGTACACAATAAGGTTCTTTTCCTTTCCAAGGCTTATCCTGAGGCTCAACTGACCATGGACACCAAACTGGCCACCTTGGAGGAACATGACTGGGATTCCCCACTTCTATCCTTTTGTTCAAATGAGGCCACATATCCGCTCGCCATTTTCCTCCTCCGTGGGACAAGACATCTGAGGGTGGTCCTCCTCAGCTCCACGGGACACACAGTTAGCTTACCACTATCGACGTCTCTGATTAAGGAATATACCCATACAATAAGGTTGATCAGCCATGCTCTCTGTGAAAGATTTTGATCAAAATGGGGGAATGTGAAAGGATTTTAATCTAAAACAGAACCAAGGGATATGAATGGAGAATCTCATGAATGTTCCCTCAGAAAAATGAAACTTAAAGACTGTGAGATTTCCCGTAAATGCTTGATTTATAGAAGATCAAAAATTATCCTCCTTGGGCCGGCCCCGTGGCTTGGTGGTTAAGTGAGCGCGCTCCACTGCTGGCGACCCGGGTTCGGATCCTGGGCTCGCACCGACGCGCTGCTTCTCCGGCCATGCTGAGGCCGCGTCCCACATACAGCAACTAGAAGGATGTGCAGCTACGACACACAACTATCTACTGGGCCTTTGGGGGGAAAAAATAAATAAATAAAATCTTTAAAAAAAAAAAAAATTATCCTCCAATCAGTGAGCATCCACCAAAAATCTCTCTCCATCTTTGAGCTAGTGAACTCATTGCATGGTCCCTAACTGGATTTTTGTCACATGGGTCCCTTGCTCTAGTGTAGGAGGAGCTGGAATTAGGTGTGTGGCTTGATGAGGTGTTATTGATTGGGCAGTGAAAACAGGAGTTTGTCCATTGTTCTGGACAATTTAATTAAACTAAGTCTGTTAAACTAAGCAGTGACAGCTGCTTCGGGAGAGAGCAGGCTCCTTCTGGTAATTAGTGTGTATGTGGTCTACCAAAGGTACTACTGGGTGTGTTTGTTAGACAATGGAGAGCTTTAATTGTGTAGCCAAATTATAGTTGGAGTCAGTGTGTAACTAGTTTGGCAATAGGTATCAGTATCCATTCATAGTTTGACACAGAAGTCCTACTATCGTGATCCTCCTATTGCCATGTAAATAATAACTCGGGGATGGGAAGCTATAAAAATATATGTTTATATAACATATAAATATATGGTAAAGTATATGTTCCTATAGACATTATCAAAAGTATATCAGGGAAAAACCCTTCAGTATTTAATGACTGGTAAATGGTAAGTGTGTTAGCTCTTAGAATGTTGTCATCAAATGTTATTTTGAAGACTTCTGCATTTTGTATTTATAATATGTGGGAAAGCAGAATATGAGCTTGGGAATACTATGATTGCAGCTATATGCATGTAGCCAACTGCAAAGGACCATGAGCTGGGAATAAGAGTGGTGAGGTAGACAGAGCTAGACAGTGCAGGAATTCGGATTTCTGTGTGGAGTGACTTTGGAATCAGCAGAAGGTGATAGGTGAAGGGTGGTTTTTTGTTTTTTTTTTTTTGTGAGGAAGATCAGCCCTGAGCTAACATCCCTGCTAATCCTCCTCTTTTTGCTGAGGAAGACTGGCTCTGAGCTAACATCTGTTGCCAATCCTCCTCCTTCCCCCCGCCCCCCAAAGCCCCATTAGATAGTTGTATGTCATAGTTGCACATCCTTCTAGTTGCTGTATGTGGGACGCGGCCTCAGCATGGCCAGAGAAGCAGTGCGTCGGTGCGCACCCGGGATCCAAACCCAGGTCACCAGTAGTGGAGCGCGCGCACTTAACCACTAAGCCACGGAGCCGGCCCCCACTGAAGAGTTTTTAAAACCCTTCCCAAACTTGGGGCTGGGTGTGGGTAACTGGCAAGGTGGTGGTGTGGGTATGGCCTGCCATCGTAGTATTTGTTGCATTATTTTTTTTCTTTCTGGTTTTCATCTGCTTCCTTAAATCATTTAGCTTTTTGAAAAAGACAATGTAATATTTGTGTAGTATGTTATTGTTTTGTTTTACCCTAAAGCAATGTAATTGAGGGATTTGGGCTTTGCTCAAATACCTAAAAATGAAACAACCAATTGTCGGCCTGGAACAACCCTTCAGAGAGGCTCTGGAGTGTGTTTACTACATCTAAGGTTGAGAAACTTCATCACCAAACCTCTATTTTATTTTACATTTAGAGACTCTTCTTAGCTAGGCATTTAGATAGGGTTTTGAAATTTTATTTTATTTTTTTATAATTTTATTTATTTATTTATTTATCCCCCCAAAGCCCCAGTAGATAGTTGTATGTCATAGCTGCACATCCTTCTAGTTGCTATATGTGGGACGCGGCCTCAGCATGGCCAGAGAAGCGGTGCGTCGGTGCGTGCCTGGGATCCGAACCCCGGGCCGCCAGCAGCGGAGTGCACGCACTTACCCGCTAAGCCACGGGGCCGGCCCTTGAAATTTTATTAATATGAAATTCTTCTTGTTAAGAGTTAAACGTCCTAGAACCCACCTTTAATATTTATAGACAGAAAGTCGCCTAATCTGGAGATAGTCTTTTTGTATGTGTGTCATGTGAAAGCAGAATCATCCTGAGTGTATTACATAATGTTTTTATACCAGCGCTACAGCTTCAGTGTAGAAGTCATAGAACATACAGACGTAATATGTTCCTGTTGCTAAAACTTATTATAGAGATAAGGTAAATTAGCACTGATTAATTGTTGTTCTTCTGAAGTCTGGTCGTTTTACTGCCCGCACGAGAAGTTTTGTATGAGTAAAGTGCACGCACTGAACTGCACAGATCCCGAGTGTATGATTTGATGCGTTTTGACAAGTGTGTATATCCAGGTAACCAATAGCCCATTCAAGATCTAGAACATTTCCGTCCACCCTGAAAGTTCCCTCGCTCACCTCCTAGTAGATCCTCATCCCCCATGAACAACCAGGGAGCACATTTGAAAAACTCTTTGTTTGTGAATATTGGTAATGTTAATTGTTAACAACTCTTTTTTAATTTGTAGGAGATAAAAACATTCAGATGGCAGATAACAGGTAAGCCAAAATGGATTTTGTTTATTGGAGTTTAAATTTTAGTTGATGAACAAGAGCCAAGCCATATTTCAGTAAACATCATTAGAAGCTCTAACTGATGGCTCATGTGTTTGTGTGTGTGTGTGTGTGTGTGTGTGTGTGTGTGTGAGTGAGAGTGAGAGAGAGTTCATAAAGAAATTGCTTCAGACATGAAAAGTGTCCCAAATACTGATTCCTAGAGCCTTTTGTGGGAAGCGATCATCTTGCCCTCCGGGCTTTAACACTTCCTGGGTGAAGTTATGTGATGGAGTCTACACCATCCTGACATTCTGTAGCTTCCGGTGGTCAAGTGAAAGATTTTGTTTGGTGGGTTGTTCTGAAGGTCACGTTTGGTTGTGTATAGTGTTTGATGTGGTTTATTTTTGGTGAGGGAGGTGTGTCCAGGCATCTTTGAAAACTGTTAGACCTATTCTCATGAAGTTTAATTGTTTTTGGAGACTTTGTGTGGCCAGCTTACAGAGCCGCCGTAGGCGTTGTGTCCTAACAGCTTGGTCAGGCGGCTTTCCTTGGGTCACTTTAGCAGCCACCTGAACCGTAGCATGCTTGTTGGTGGGTTTAGTGGGTTTGGTTTGAGGGCAGGAGCAGATCTTTTGAGGAAAGAAATTGTAGAAATGAAAGAAGCTTCAGCCAGCATTGGAAATAAGAATTGTGGGGGATGGCATCTAGGGGTGCTAGCTGGTAGAATTTTCTTTAATAACAGGGAGGAAATATCTTGTAGATAACACACGTGTGTCCATAGTTCTCTTCCACGCAAATCTGAAGTCACTGTAGAGATACCTTAATATGTTAAATAAGAAAAATGCCCTTGTGCTACTTATCTTTGGAACTTCCTTTACATTTAATACTTCTTAAACACATTGTTTTAGTTTTTCAGATGGGGTTCCTTCAGATTCCTTGGAAGCTGCTAAAAATGCAAGTAATACAGGTCAGTTCACTGCGCATGGAAGTTTAACAGTGGAGAGTTTGCATGCAGAGCAGAGCGCCTCCTACTCTTGAACCGTTTATTATAAGAATACAAATAATGCAAGTAAAGGATTACTGTACTTCAAAGATTTTAAGAAAGTTAGAGTAATTAAAATGAAAATCAGTAGTTTGTTTTAAAAAATTTTTATTATAGGAATTGAGACTCTGCAGAAGTGAAGTGAATAGCACAGTACACCTCTGTGTCTGCCGTCACTCAGCATCAGCATTCACAGTGACCTGGCTGTCTTCATCTCGGCCCTTCCTCCTCTTCCCGATTATTCTGAAGCAGATCCCAGATACCGTGTCATTTTGTCCATAAATTCGTAGATGTGTTATTTTTTCCCTCCATTTTCTTTTTTTCTTTTTCTTTTATTTTTTTTCCCGCAAAGCCCCAGTAGATAGTTGTATGTCATATCTGCACATCCTTTTAGTTGCTGTATGTGGGACGCGGCCTCAGCATGGCCAGACAAGTGGTGCATCGGTGCGTGCCCGGGATCCGAACCCGGGCTGCCAGCAGCGGAGCACGCACACTTAACTGCTAAGCCACGGGGCCGGCCCTCCATTTTCAAATCTATGTATCCATACTTTTTTTTTCCTCCCTGAAATCCCTGAACTGTTTGAAAGCAAGTTGTGGATCCTGGCTCTTTGCCCCTAAAACAATTTAGTATAAATTTCCTAAAAACTAGGATGAATTCTTTTTTTTTTTTCATAATTTTATTTATTTATTTTTTTCCCCCAAAGCCCCAGTAGATAGTTGCATGTCATAGCTGCACATCCTTCTAGTTGCTGCATGTGGGACACGGCCTCAGCATGGCTGGAGAAGCGGTGAGTCGGTGCGCGCCCAGGATCGAACCGAGGCCACCAGCATCGGAGCGCACGCACTTAACCGCCAAGCCACAGGGCCGGCCCAGTAGGATGAATTCTTATAACCACAATATCATTGCCACAACCAAGAAATTTAACATTGATACAAGACTGTTGGCTAATGTACAGTCGTGTTCCTATTTCCCTGGTTTTCTCAGCAGATCTTTTACAGCTGTACCCCATACCCAAATCCAGGACCAGCCAAGGACTGTGCACTGCATGTGTTCTGTCTCCTTTGTTCTAGAGTCACCCTACACCTTTTGTGTCCTTCATTGCAGTGACACGGCAGCAGGCCGTGGGCCCCAGCTGTCTTTAGAAGGCCCACACTCTGGATTGGTCTGGTTGTTTCCACCTCATTAGGTTCAGGGTAAACATTTTGGCAAGACTATCACAGGTGACCTGGTGCAATGACAAGTGCGAGTAGGCCTGAGACGGGCAGTGCTGAGGTTGCTAACTTGGTTAAGACAATGTTTGCCAGATTTCTCCATTGGAAGGGTCCTTTTAGTAAGTAATCTGTTGGGTGCTCTGTGGGTATCCATGAGACTTCTCCATAGCACCCATTGATGATCCTTGCTGAGTCACTAATGACATTGGTGGTTGCAAAAGGGTGTTTTTCTAATTCTGTCAATCCTACTACATATTACATCTATTAGAAGAACAGCTCCTTCCCATTTTAGTGTTACCAGTACCTCATGGATTCATTTTTTACTCAGTATTTTATCAGTGCCATCTTATTCTTCTTGGTATGCAAATTCGGCCAGTGGGGGTCCCTTCAAACTGGCTTCTATGTCTTTTTGCTATGTCCCCATCAGTTTTGAGTACTTTCTAGCTTTGTGGCACAAGTGATATTCCATTTCCCTTGAACTTTCCTTGCCCCAGACCTGGAACCTACCGTTTATCCAAGGGACCCTGTTCCTTTTGGTGGGGAGAAAGATTTAAAAACCAAAATGTAGGTGGTAGGTGTCTCTATTTCTAGGCCTTTCAGTGGCCAGAGCTAGAAGAGATGTGTATTTGGTACACATTTAGTATTTACATTTTGTATGTGTGTACAGTTTTATGTATACACGATTATATACACTAAATATACATACACAGTGCTTTGTTTAGCGGCTATGTTTGTCGGTAAAGTTGAGTGTCTACTGGGTGTATTCTGCAGCCCACATCCCTTGCTTACAGAAGTTGGGGAGAACTTCCACACACTGTCTGCCTTTTGAGTCAGGAGGTACTGATTTTGGTTTCTGGACGGTGTCAGTAAGAGGGAATTGGTTCCTCAGACACTGAGTCTGTCCCGGGAGCCAGGTGTCGTGCCAGTCAGTGGTTACAGCTGAGTGAAAGGACGCTCACTTCCCTCTCAGTGTCTCGTCCATTGAAATAGTACGATGTGTGTGAGCTCTAGAGGCACTGTGGCCAAGGCAAGTGACTTTTAGTAGGGGCTGCTCAGGGGTTGCCTTGTGGAGGAGGTGGGTTTGGGCAGAAAGGCATTGTAGGTGAAAGTCTGGCACCTGGTGAACTGGTGAGAGTTGGCTTTCCCGGGTTGTGAGCTGGGGTGCAAGTGGGTGCTGATTTCCTCTGGGGAACAGTCGCCTCGTCCCTGGCCTTGGCTTCTGGGCCCCGCCTTTGGACTTGGGAAGAGAAGGTGAGGTGGTGGGAGATTGACCACGTGAATTTAGGAATTAACAATGTCCTCAGTTGGGAGATTTGGGGCTTAAATGGCTAAAGTGAGAACCAGTAACCTCGGGCCGACCCCGTGGCTTAGCGGTTAAGTGCTCGCGCTCTACTGCTGGCAGCCCAGGTTCGGATGCCAGGCCCGCAGCGACGCACCGCTTCTCTGGCCATGCTGGGGCCGCATCCCACATACAGCAACTAGAAGGATGTGCAGCTATGACATGTAACTATCTACTGGGGCTTTAGGGGAAAAAAAAAAAAAAGAACCAGTAACCTCTAGGTACTCTTCACTAGATTTATAACCACTTCCTCAGGCCATTAACATAGAGTATCAAATGCCTTTAAAGTAAATTTTAAATATTTCCGAAACAGATGTTTTTAAGAAGCCACTTACTCTATTTAGAAATTAAAGTAGATAAGCGAAGCTAAGTAGATTATGTGTTGGTGAATTTTGACTCTTGGCTGGTCTGTGGTGGACTTATTTTAAATATTTTGGCCTTGTTTTTTACTCTTGATAGAAAAGCTCACAGATCAGGTGATGCAGAATCCTCAAGTTTTGGCAGCTCTACAGGAACGACTTGACAGTGTCTCCCACACTCCTTCAAGCTACATCGAGACGTAAGTTTGCTATGATTGAGACTCGATACAACTTTAAGAAACAAAGAAGGGGCCGGCCCATAGCGAAGCGGTTAAGTGCGCGAGCTCCACTGCAGGCAGCCGGGGTTCCGATCCCAGGTGCGCACCGACGCACCGCTTGTCAGGCCATGCTGTGGTGGTGTCCCACATAAAGTGGAGGAAGATAGGCAAAAATGTTAGCTCAGGGCTGACCTTCCTCAGAAAAAAATAAATCAACAAAGAAAAACCTATTACCTATTTTCCGGTTCCTTAGAATAGGAATAAGTTTATTTTTTTTGGCAGACATTGCCTGCTGAGAGCCAGGGACTGGGTTCCAAAGATGAGTGCTTGGGTTCAGAGTCTCGAGGAGGGGTCCGGATCTGTAGAAAGAGTAGGCAGTGTTGAGTCATCTAATAGGTGCGTGCATAGTGCCATCCTGTGGCGATTTTAGAGGACTTGGCAGCTTATGTGAGTCATGTGGGACAAGGAGGAGTTAGTAGGGCAAGGACGAGCCCGCAGAGGGCAGAGTGCTTGCTCCTCATCGTGGCTCTAGTTAGCTAGGAGAGCCACGCCTCCCTGGCTCACTCCAAGAGCCTGCAGCACTGGAAACTGCCATCCTAGAAGGGGTCTGTGTCCTGGTTTTATTGCATGGGGAAAATAAGGACACCCACCTTGGAATCCTAGCACAGCCCTTCTCAGGGCCTGGTGGTGTTCCTCGAGGCTGTTCTGATGGAGAGGGGACCTTTGGGGTCTGCTTTGCCTTATGGAGGGTTCTCCAGGCATGACTTGGTGGGCAGGTTTCGTGAGATTTTTGTAGACTGAATCCCTGGGATGTAGTGAGACTGGGTGGCAGTAGAATTGGTGAGGATGAGTAATGGTTTCCAGTCTTCTGGCTTCAGAAACTGGGTGAGTGGGTGGCATTCCCTGAGAGGAAACGAGGGAGTGGGAAGAAGGTTTCCTAGGGAGAGAATTAGCTCCTCATTGGACAGACTGCACGTGGAGTGCCTGTTGTGTGGAGAAGAACAATGTGTAGCTACTTTAAGTGGTTGGAGGATGGCTGGGGAGGTTATTAGGGTCCAGTTTGCTGTGTTGTTTTTACTACATTAGGAAGATTTGAAAAGTTAAATTTTAAATCGTGTAGTTAACAAAGAAAAGAAGTAGAGATGTTAGTCTCTACCATTTTATTTATGCTGCTCTGCTGCTTCCTTGTTCTCTTCTGCCAGCAGTAGTCCTACAGAGGTAACTGCAGTTGGGAGTCTGGTGAAGGACCTTACCCTCAGTGCCCATGGATGTGATCACCCCAGGCCAGGGGTCCTTTGTGATTCAAGGCTGTTTCAGTACTTTGTAAACCGCCCTGCGCGGAGCTGCCTGGTGCTCTGTGCTGTGCCTTGCTGGAGGGTCAGTACAGTGCGTGGACTGGTGCCGGCTCCCCCCGAGACCTCCGCTCAGGTGGAGGAGAACGCAGAGGGCAGCACCCAGGCCCGCCCAGGAGATGGTGCGGGTCTGTCTCGAGGCCCAGGAGTCTGCTCTTCTTTCCAGATTGTGACCAAGGGCTTCAAGTTAAATAATTGTGATGGGTTAAAAACAGGTTTTTTCTTCTGATTTATAAAAAAAAGTAATGCATACAGACTAAAATATTTTTTAGAATATAGAAAAATATCAAAAGGCAAAGAAGCTCATAGTTATCTGACTAGAAGAGAACGACCCCCCCTTGTCTGGTTGTCTCTGGTTTCCCCTTAGCGTGTCTGTTTGACCACTTCACACGGCACTGAACATTCTTTGAAAACGTGATTGTGGACAGGCCGTGTTTTAATCCTGTTCAACTTGTCGTTTCCACTTTTTTACTTTTACAAATAATACATCAGTGGACCTTTCAGTACATAAATACTTGGTTATTCCTTACGATAGATTCTTAGAAGTAGAATTACTGGATCCAAAGAAGATTTTCAAGGTTCTTGTTTGCCCTTAAGAAAGACGAGTCAGTGGGAGGGCTTCTTTGCCTTCAGCCTCATCAAACCTGGGAATTTTTTTTTTGGTAAAGAAAAGACAACAGTTCTTTTGAATTGGCATTCTTTTGGATATTTTGTGAGATTGGACCTTTCTTCTCTGTTCGATTACTTGTATTTTTACTTTTATGAATTATCTTTTTAGCTTCCTTTTCTTTTTTTCTATTGGGATGTTTGTCCTTTTCTTAATGATTTTTAGTGTTTCTTCATGGTAAGGATGTTAATTCTGTGTTGACCTAAATTCATTCCAATAAAATTGAAAACCGTACTGCCTCATTTGGCAGATGTATGGATGTTGTATTTTTTATTCCCTCTTTTAGTTTACCAAAAGCAGTCAAAAGAAGAATCAATGCCTTGAAACAGCTTCAAGTGAAGTGTGCTCATATAGAAGCCAAGTTCTATGAAGAAGTTCATGACTTGGAAAGAAAGTATGCAGCATTATACCAGCCTCTCTTTGACAAGGTAGGGAACTCTATTAATGTAGTTAGTATGTTTCAAATCTTTCTTTAGATAAAACATCCAGATTTACCCAGTGAATCATTGAGCATTATTCTTTAAGCCCTAAAACTTAGAATTGTAAAATAAGTTATGAAAGCATCAGTTTTCACAGTCTTTTCATAGGCGTTATTTACAAACTCATCTTAACTGATAAGTTTCCGAATAACTTAATATAATGCTAAGAAGGTCTTGTTTTTACTTAGAGAAGGGAATTCATTACTGGTGACGTTGAGCCGACAGATGAGGAGTCAGAATGGCACAGTGAAAATGAAGAGGAGGATAAATTGGCTGTAAGTTTTTTTTAATGAGTGCAACTTGTGTTCTGTTTTAATACTGTTAGGAATAAGAAACCTCTTTTTTTTTTTTTTTTTTTGGTGGTGAGGAAGATCAGCTCTGTGCTAACATCTGCCAATCCTCCTCTTTTTTTGCTGAGGAAGACTGGCCCTGGGCTCACATCCGTGCCCATCTTCCTCCACTTTATATGGGACGCCGCCACAGCATGGCTTGCCAAGCGGTGTGCTGGTGCACACCTGGGATCCGAACTGGCAAACCCCGGGCTGCCGCGGCGGAGGGTGCTCACTTAACCGCTTGTGCCACCAGGCCGGCCCCAAGAAACCTCTTTTGATGGTTTTTAATCACTGATGTAACTTTACAGAGAAGAGGGCTCCTAACAGTAGGTGCTCCTTCACCGTCAGCTTGGGTGTTGAGATTTCTTCCCCCCGGTGACTGCTGAGCAGCCTGTGGGCCTGGCATCTGCCTTGATGTACTGTCAGTTAACATGATGAACCAGACACAGTCTCCCTTCTCAATCACCTGTAGCCACTCTCTGCAGTATAGAGACCCTGCCCAAGGACCAGCGGTGGCCATGAAGTAGCCAGAGTGCATCGAGCCACTTCAGATTGGTAGATTACGGGTCCTTTGGTGATGTGCCCTGTCCATTACCTGCTCACAACCGTTTTCTGGGGACGGGTCCCATTCCAGTGCCACAGAAAGTCCCAACGTGCCACAGAGTTACCTTTGTCGGCCTGATTTTATGTTTGGGAGACACGTAGCTTTTATCCTATACTATTAACTTTTAGGGTTTTTTTTAAGTGTATGTCAGGTTGGGTAACCATATGTTTTTGATCTTTTAAAAATATGTGGAACCTGACCTAGTTGAAGCCATGGCTGTGGATCAGTTCCTTATTGCTCAAGAAAAATCTGCCTCTGTTAATTTAAGAAGCCCTCACGATAATCTCCTCACAAGACTCGCATGTAAGGAAGCATCCACACTTTCCTGTGGCTCCACTGAGTGTTGTGTTAACACACTTGGCCTGCCTTTTCCCTGGGGCCATGATGTTAGAAGAGACTTCCCGCCACGTGCCACCACTCTCCTGTTATAGCTGTCTCCTTACAGCGGGACATCCGAGTTCCTTGGCATTGTCTTGTTGCTGAAGATATTGGATTCTGCATCTGATGGTGGGTGATTGTCCCAGGATGGACGTCTCAGAGACAGCCCGGATAGCCTTTCCCAAGTTTGGTGGCAGTGTGCCATCTCTTTAGCTTTTTTTCCCCCTTGATATAAAATTATGTCATGGACTTTCATCTGGATGGAATGCCTAGAATGCTTTGTCCCTCAGAAACATTTGAAATTGTGATGTGCACACTGGTCTTGGAGATGCAGATTGAAAGAGCAAGGGTTTTGATAGAAGTTGGTGCAGGATTCTGAAATTATATTCTGCACTAAGCCATTGAATTATTTGTAAATTTGTTGCTTTGTGATAAATATTTTATTTTGCACCTTTATTTTTTTAGGGAGACATGAAAAATAAAGTAGTCATAGCAGAAAAAGAAGCAGCAACAGCAGAAGAGCCAAACCCCAAAGGAATTCCGGAGTTCTGGTTTACCATCTTTAGAAATGTAGATATGCTAAGTGAATTAGTCCAGGTGAGCACATTTCCACCTTGCAGAGAGATTTTGGTCTTAGACTTGATTTGTGAACTACTTAACTGGGTGTTTAGTGTTTCTTTATTGTGGGTGGAAAGGCACTTCTTGTGACCACCCACTCAGATGTGCAGTCTTGATCTCACTGGGAGGGTTTGTTACTGTTGGAACCCTCTATACGACCTTAAATTGTAGGTCTAGTGGAGAGACCTGCACCTCTGAACGTGAGTCAAAACTTGTAGTTGGTTTACCTCCTGTAAAAGGTCTGTTGCCTCACCCCCAGAAAGCCTGGTAACAGATTCAAGACGCATCTCCATCTTACTATGATGTGAACAAGCAGGAAAGTGAGGACAAGAGCCCAGAGTGGAGGGATGGACTTTGAGCAATGGAGGAGGGGGTGTGTGTGCGCGTGCATGTGTGCAGGTGTACATGCATACATGCTCGCACTGGCGCATCCTTAGACCTTTCCATTGATGGGTTTTGGAAATTTGAAATGGGTCTGCCGTTGTGCACCGTTGCTAATTGTGTAAATATGTCACAAGTTGCTAATATTTTCTCATCATTTCCCTTGCAGAAGTCTCCATTTTTAAAAAAAACTGAAATAGGAAATCGTTCTGTTTGTCTTACCTTGTCAGGCTTTCTGTAGTGAAATGGTGAACCAATTAAAAGCTAACAAATTTGACTTTCCCCAAACTGAATTATGGTAGAAGTTTCTAGGATACAGAAACAAGTCGTACCCAAAGTCTCATTGCCTGACTTGTTGTCTCAGGTCCACAGAGATGGTCATCTCTGCTCTCGGACTTGATCCAGACAGGTCAGCACAGTGCTTCTCATATCAGAGAGCACAGCCGCTGTGACGTGCGAATAACTCTCCTGCACTTTGCATGAGATTGCACAGATGTGTTGATAAGGGCTTTCAGAGACTTGCCTCACTGCTGCCTCTGCCACCTGTCTCCTTTGATGCTTACCCGTAACCAAAACTTAGGAAAGGATGGAAGGAATGCGTTTCTTAGTCTCCTTCCAAACTGGGGGAGCATCTAAAATACGTGACTCAGAATAGCCTCTGTTTTCCTGTCCGAGGTTCCTTTTCATATGAAAAGATGGGGTTTAGGAAAATTAGACCATACTTTTAAAAGAATGCCGTGAGCCAGAAATTCCCTGGAAAAATGGAATAATTTATGCCAGGACAAGATTCTAACCCTAACTGTATGTTAGAATCACCTGGGCAACTTTTAAAACTCAATAGCAACATGAGTGCCTTCCCCACCCCCAAGTCAGTCAGAGTTTGGGGTGTTTGGAGGAGCTCTTATGGTTTTAATGTGCCTCAAGGGTTGAAAATCCCCGTGCCTGTAGAGCAGTGGAAAGACTCCTAGTCTGCCCGTCACTTAGGCGTCCCATGGAGACGCAGATTCTGATGCTGTGGGTCTGGGTGGGGCTGACGGCCTGCATTTCTAGTACACTCCCAGGCGGTGCTGAGGCTGCTGGGTGGGGCACACTGTGAGTGGGGGCAGGGTTATTATGAATGTGGGCTTTTCGGTACCAGTTAGGTGACTGGGTTGAGTAACCTGGCTCCTTGTGTTGCCTGGCCAGCGAGTTAGTAATCCAGGGATGGCCGTGGCTGCATCCCCCATAGCGTTTCCTTCAGTTTTGAGGGTGGTAGTACAGTTAGCCATGTTTTAACGAGGTATCTCTTTCATTCTCCCCAACACCTCTATATTAGGGTCAGTGCTTTTTGAGAGTCTGTTAATTTGGGGCATTGCATTATGCTCTGGACCATGTGAAGTTCTTGGCCCTCAAGGTACATGGCTGTTTGAGGAATTACGAACATAATGGTTATTTCATGAATTTGGGGGAAATACCAGTGGGTACTGCTAGTTTGAGTGGGATGAGTGTGAGGATCGTGCTCCGTGTATTTGGAAAACATCCTAGTGATAACATTCATCTTGGCAGTTCAGACCTAGGTGTGTGCACCCAGTCAGTAATGCATATGGTCTTAGAGCCCATACTGATGTGGCTGACTTTAATAACTGTTTTGGGTTATTTTTGTCTAGAGACTTGCTAGATGCTTTTGTTATTGCTATTTTTTGTTTTGTTATATAATGTTAAAAGAATTTAAAATTGGGAAGTGGGTAGTTATCAGACTTAATTAATCTTAAAACTTAATGGAACCTCGAGAAATCCTTAGGCTCAGCCCCCTGACCTCGAGGGTGAAGAAGTAACTTTCTTATGAATGAAGCGTCTGCTTTAGTATGCACTCACTGGGTCTCAAGTCTTATAATTCCTTCTCAGATTTTTTTGTCCTGTGGACTTTCTTAAGTGACAGGCATTGGTGAACTTCTGAGTTTAAATAATGGTCACCTGTAAAAGCGTACTGCACTGTTAGAAGCTCTTGAATAGTGCCTGCAGGTTAGGTCTCAGACATGCTTTGTCAGTGTCCTTGGCTGTGACTGACTGTGTGTTGTGGATTTGGGATATTTATTGCCACATGCCATAACGAAGGGGCAGGAGGCCTGGCTGCCAAGGCCGGTAGCTGATCTAGACGTTTCTTCTGATTCTGTCTCTTGAGAGATGCTGAGGTCCAGCAGTCTTAGTTGATGGCATTTCTGATCCCGTGTGCAGTGGCAACTGGTGGTGTGAAAGCAGTCAGGGCTCTTGCCCCTGGCATTGAAGGCCTGCCCTTCCTGCGTGGCGTTGGTGGTTACCAGTGCTCCCTGCCAGAGAAAGATGGCATCTCATTGCTGCCACTCGAAGGCTGGTAGTTGGTGAACAAATTTGGGTGGCTTCCTGGGAGTTATTACCTGACAAGGACAGAATTCCAACAGGGCTAATTATCCAGCAGCTAGGAGTATATACAGCAGTGACTCAGGGGGGGATGTGTGTTGTTTTTAAAAAGCCCACTAGAAATTTCTTTTTTCTCTTTGTGATTAGGAATATGATGAGCCAATCTTAAAACACCTGCAGGATATTAAAGTGAAATTTTCAGACCCTGGACAACCCATGGTGAGTACTGGTTGTTTGAGCTCTTGGTTGGCATCGGAAAGGATCAGGCCACTGAGGGTAAGGGGCTTGGAGCCAGGGCAAGAAATCCACACCTGGCTACTCACTTGCAGAGTAGACTTGAGCGGGGCACTCACTGAGAATTAGAACAGCTCTCACATTGCCTTTCTGGGCTCTCCCAGCGTGTGTAAGCCTGACCAGTCACTCAGGCCACAAGCTGCTTGGTGGCAGGTATGGGAGTCAGACACAGGATTGGGCTCCTTGGCCACAGTGCCCACTGCCATGCTGTGGTTTCTGAGCTGATTTGTTTCCTCTGTCAGATGGGACGGTATCATCCTTTTCCTCGTGTCTCCCAGGTTTATGAGGATCTAATGTCTATAAAATAGGTTTAAAAGGATGGTAGGTATATACTCAGATATGAGCAGCACTTTAACAGAAATCCAGGATACTAAGAAAAGAAACCTATGAGATTTTACCTTAAAAAAATAACTGCAGGTAGATAAGACTGAAAAATGTTATCCCAGTCTTTGATTTGTCACAAACACATCTTTCCAAAATCCTTGCTGTAGTGTGTCATGTTGGTGTTCGTGGGCAGGTCTGCCTGGCAGTGAGTGAGAGGAGTCCGCCCCAAGCCAGCCCTTCCTGTTCTCTGAGGAAATCTGGAGGTGGGCACGCATCGTGCCTGAGCTGGGGTCCTCGCGAGAGCACTGTTCGTGACCTGTTAGTCTGGCTGTGGCTAACGGGTTCCATTCCGGTGCTACAGGAGTTCCAACGACATGTGACTGACTGACTGGTGGCTCTCAGCTTCAGGTCTTGGAGACAAAGTGCCTGGAGGACTGTGGGTTAGGGATCTGGGGGCTGGGCATAGGAGCTGGGACCTAGAATTGGTCTCCTCCCCATCGCAGAGCACAGGCGCCAGGTAGCTGAGGAGGCCAGTGTGAGTGGGCTTTCTCCCTTCCTAGTCCTGCAGGGGACGCTTGCTGCAGGCTGGGCGCGCGGGCACACCTGTATTGTCCCTTCCACTTTTCCTGTCTGCTCCACTCTGGGAGGTACATTCAGCTGTCCCTCTGCAGGTGGGGGCGCAGGCACGAGGTGGCCTGAGGCCTGCTCACAGGCTGAGGAGCCACACTGTGGCCGAGGGGAACCCTTCTTCCCTACCGCACCGGGTCATCACAGGGCCTTCCTCCTGCTGCCTTCTTCCCTGTGCGGAGGCTTTACCATGGCGCCCCTAGAGGCCTCCTGTGGCAGTGTGCAGGCGCTTGCTGTGTTTTGTGTGGATTCTCTCTCCCCATGGGGTTGTGTGTGCACATGGATGTGTGAGTGCTGTTTTAAGATTCTGTGTGAGTTTTTTCCTCTTCTTTCTCACTTACGATTCGTCCAGACTCAATTTACTAAGTTTTCCCCTTTGGATCAATTCCTTTTTTTTCTTTCTTTGCTTATTGGACATGTGTTTGATGGTTCCTGGGTCTGTTGTCTTTCTCAGCCTGTCTGTCTGGTGTTTTCCCCTGTCTCTTACAGTGGCTCAGAGACGGGCTGCAGCCCTGGTTGTGGTAGACCGTGAGCCAGGCATTTTTCTCTTTCTTGTTACTTCTCCCGTTATAAAAGTCGTATGTGCGGTAGGAAACTTAGAAGACACAGAGAAGTGTGAAGAACACTATACAAATCTCCATCTTCTAGAAGTGACTGTCAGCAGCTTAGGGAGTTTCTCCACAGTCTTTGTCCTTTTCAAAATTATTATGAAACATTAAGGCATTAAAGTTAATAAAGAAAACACCACTGAGCGTCAGACAGAGCATGTGGGTGTGTGCCCCTCCTCATGTCAGTGTCACCCCTTTTCCTTCTCCAGGCCCACACGCTGGCCTTGGGGCCCAGTGAGATGACAGTGCTTGGACAGGGAGATGCTGGCTCTTCCCATGTCGCACAGGCTCTGCTGGCGTTCGCCGGATAGGCCACCACTACTCAGTCCTAAATCGTTGCATTATGATCAGCACACTTGAACCCAAGTCTGTTGTTTAAGTTTCTGAGGACTTCCTAGTTTAGATTCCTTTTAGTGTAGTTACTGGGTTGGAGGAGAGGAACATTTATAAGGCCCAGAGGTGGTTCAGTTTGCATTCCTGCTAGCAGTATTTTTTTCCACTCTTTCTTTCTTGTAATAATAGTCTTTTCCTGACTCTTTCTATTCTGAAGTGGTTTTACACTTAGAGCAGAGCTGCAGCAGCAGTACCAAATGACAGTACCCGTGTGTCGTTCTCCTGCACTTGGCTGGTCCGCCTGGTCCACGTGGGCGTGCTGGGTGGGGACCACCTCCTAGTGTGCTTGGCAGGAGGATTGGCAAAGACAGCAGCACCATGTTGACTGTGCTGGGCACAAGAGGTCTGGTTTTACACTTGAGTGCGAGGCGAGCGGGCATTTGTCGGGTGTTGCTGGCTGGCTGGCTGTGGGCCTGTGAGTGAGGTTGCTTCATCCTTGGACCCTTTTCTCTTGGAACATTAAGCACTTTCTTTAATTCATCCTCCAGTGTGTTAGGGTTTCTCTTGACTAAACAGAGGCCTAGGGGAAGAAAAAAATAGAACAGTATGAAGAAGGGAAATAGCATGCTTGGTTTGGGGAAATGGTGGGGGGAGGAGGTGGGGAGAGAAAGAAGAAAATACACGATCTGTCTGTACAAGAGTGGGGAGTGGCAGAGGCCCAAAACTGCACCATTGTGAGTGAAGGGTGGACTTGTCCTTGATGTGTTTTGAGGAGGCACAGTCAGTACTGCCCCCATGCCCCATGGGGTCTCTGCATGGCAGGGAAAGCAGTGTTGTACCTGAGTCCAAGAGAAAAAGGAGAGGAGGGCAGGGCTCCTGGTGCCTGGTTTCTCCCCCAGGCTCCCCTGCCATCACCTTAGGGCAGGGGGCTGGGGCAGCAGACAGAAGCAAGGATTTCTCAGGAGAGCTTGAGCTCCCCTGGGAGGAGCTGTCGGCGGGCATGTGCCCCCACTCCAGGACTGGAGGGTGACAGGGGCTTCCCTCAGCCTGTCGTCTGTGTTTTCACTTTGTGCCGGCGCTCTTTGCAGTAAAGACGACTTTGTTGTCGCCCATACCTGTGGAGCTTTTCAGTGGCGCTTTCTGCTTGTGGTGTCATGCTTGGAGAGGGGCTGTTTTCCAGGGAGTGCTGTGTAGCTCATCAGCTCTGTCACTGGTCACCTGTCACTGTTAAGTGGTGCTTACCCTGAGTTTTTGTTTTTAGTCTTTTGTATTAGAGTTCCACTTTGAACCCAACGACTACTTTACCAATTCAGTCCTGACGAAAACGTACAAGATGAAGTCAGAGCCAGATAAGGCCGATCCCTTTTCCTTTGAAGGTCCTGAAATAGTTGACTGTGACGGGTAAGGAAATGCCATTTCAACTTCTTCGAAACAAAAGCAGGAGATGATTTTAGAACTTTACAAGTAAGAGAAGCAAAAAGTCTTTAATCTGCTCAAAAACCCAGTAGACAAAGATTTAAACTAAATAATTTTTCCATTTGGGGGTATGATGGCCAGCGCTGGGAAGTGTATCACATGGTTACATGTGCCGAGGTTTGGGATAATGGCCCAATTTCATCATTCTAATGAGGGGATTGGGTTCTCTGGTCCCCTTAAATGAAGCTGTGATCATTGACTGATAAATTACCCTCAGCGAGCAGCTGGCCTGGTGGTGTAGTGGTTAAGTTCGTGCACTCCACTTTGGCGGCCCGGGATTTGCAGGTTCGCATCCTAGGCATGGACCTATGCAGTGCTCATCAAGCCATGCTGTGGCAGTGTCCCAAATACAAAATAGAGGAAGATAGGCACAGCTGTTAGCTCAGGCAGCGGATGTTAGCTCATGGCCAATGTCCCTCACCAAAAAAATAATAATAAATAAATAAATTACCCTCAGCAGGTATTTGTTGAGTGAGTGCGTGAATGAGTCAGTGCAGGGCAGTGCTGGTCGGTCACTTGCTTTGGAAATTGGTGGGACAGTTCAACTGTTGTTTGAATCGTGATGGGGCACCTTAGCAACGTCAGTCTGTAGGTCACCAAAGAGAGAATGTAGTTTGGAGTTCACTCCTCCTGGTTTGTTTGAGGCGATTTGGGAAGTTGTTTTATCCTTGAATTGAAACAGTTGTCCCTATTCGCTGGAACCAAGTACTTATCCTTATGAATCTCCCTGTATGAGTAATGCAGACCTTTATTAAAATCCTGCTAGACTTGAATAGCTAGAGTAATTTAGAAAGGTCATTTCCCAGGGACAGGCCATCGTGGGAGAAGAAGGCCTGGCTTTCCAGGCATGCTCTTGAGCAGATGCTAGTCAGATGCTGCCACGTGTTATCTGTTGGTCCGAGGTGATTCAAAGAGCTCAGAAGCATGCCCTGCTCAACCTCTGCCAAGGACCTAGAGTTGGTGTGTTCTGCACTCGTCATCACTGTTTGCAGTGGTCACTGCAACTTTCTCCACCTTGTCCTGCTCACTTAGTTGCCTTGAGAATTTGGGTGCATGAGTGGGTGACTTCAATTGTGCGGTGGAGTCTGAACGGGGCCAGCAGGTGACAAGGTCTTGAGCATCACATAGGCACCTTTGTTCAGCCTTGACTGGGCTTGCTCACAGAAAACACGTTGCCGAGTCCTTGTGAAATAATGCCATTGCAGTTAGACAAGTCTGAAGCTTGAGACAGTGTTTCTACCCAGGATGATGGCAGGCCAAGCGTTTCTCTTTAACTGGCCTTCAGATGAACTTCATGGGTGTGTGTAGTGCTTGCTTGCAGGTTGGGTTTATTGAATTTTCCAGGTTAAGCATGGAGCTGGGGTTTGCTTACTGTGTACATCTGTAATTGGTTTTTCTCATGGAGTGTGTATCCGTGATTGCTGTCCTGTCCCTGTAGGTGTACTATTGACTGGAAGAAAGGGAAAAATGTCACGGTCAAAACAATCAAGAAGAAGCAGAAACACAAGGGTCGAGGCACCGTTCGAACAATCACCAAACAAGTCCCCAACGATTCCTTTTTTAACTTCTTCAGTCCACTCAAAGGTGAGCAGTGGGGCTGTGATACTGATTATGTACTTACATAAGGTAACTTTGTTAGCCTCAGAGTCCAGTTCTAGTCCTGGTGAGTGTGGGAGGTAAGGGGACGGTTACTGTGCCAGAGGCAGTGGTGCTCTCTGGGGCACAGGGGCCGCAGGAAGGGAAGCCCAGGTGGGCACTGTGGGCTCCGTCTGAGAACGCGGAAGTGAGCGCCCACACCCGGGCCCTTCCGCGCGCGGCTGCCTGGACACCCCCGGCAGCACTTCCACGCCTCTGCTCTGTTGCTCTCGGGCGCCCCTGGGCGCCCCCAGCCTGTTGGGCTGTAGACTTAGCTCTCAAGGCATCTGTCCCTGGTTGTGCTCTGGTTACACTTCACCAGCTTTTGAATCATCCCCCCTCTTCCTCGTAAATTGTTTTATTTTGTTTTTCTGCATGACTTGGTAGAGCGTAGGGATTTTGGAATACGTATGTTGTGACAAATGCAAGTACAGTCGTGTGCCGCATCATGACGTTTTCGTCAGTGAGGGACTGCATAGATGACAGTGGTCCCATAAGTTAAGTACCACATAGCCTAGGTGTGTAGTCAGCTATACCTTCTAGGTTTGTGTGAGTACACTCTGTGATGTTCAGACCACGATGAACATGTCCCTGTCGTTGAGCCACACACGACTGTAGTTGGATTTCCATTTTTGAAAGACTTAGGCCAGAATTGTAGCTTGGATGCTTTGATTTTTTTTTTTTTTTTCCCCTTCCGTAAGCCGTAAAGATGGAACCTTTGAGCTAGTAAACACCGAGCAACTGGTTTTGAGAGTAAATTACTTGAAAGTCGTAACGCAGTTTTCTAATCCTGAGAGAATGTGAAGGTCAGACCAGTTTTCAGTGTTAAAATACAGATATGAGGAAAGACCATTTGCTCTCTTTTTTTTTTAATTAATTAATTAATCCCCCCCCCACAAAGCCCCAGTAGATAGTTGTGTGTCATAGTTGCACATCCTTCTAGTTGCTGTACGTGGGACGCGGCCTCAGCATGGCCGGAGAAGCGGTGCGTCGGTGCGCGCCCAGGATCCGAACTCGGGCCGCCAGCAGCAGAGCGCACGCACTTTACCGCTAAGCCATGGGGCCGGCCCCAAGACCATTTGCTCTTTATTGTAATGAACAAAAACAGTTTGAAATACAGAAACGCGGGCCCCTGCTCTGGGGAATCGTGGATGTGGGGTCGTTCGCCCGTGGGCCACAGGGCAGCTCCATTCTCATTCTGACCTTTGGTCTCTTGACCTGTCCCTGAGCCCAGCACCCTCATTTACCTGCGCCATTCAGTCCTTTACTTTTGTTTGTTTTTCTTTTTTTTTTTTTTTGTGAAATTTTTGTCGTACATTATTGTTTGTCAGTCACCATATAAATGCATCCCTCCAGCCCTTGTGCCCACCCCCACCCCCCTTGCCCCTGGCAACCACCAGACAGTTCTCTGTCCGTGCGTTGGTTTATTGCAGTCCTTTACTATTTTTATCGTAGTGGCTATTTTCTGAAGTTTGTCTTTGAACCTAGAAGATGCAAATGTGTATTAGTTTGGGGGATAAGAACAGCCATAAATTTAGTTCTTCACTTTCCTTTTTTGGGAAGACCCCTGTTGGAGCCTTGCATGGGCATGTTATAGGTTCCCTGTGTGAATTCACCATGAAGCAGGGGTCTTTGATTCCTAAATACAGTGGGTTTGTGGGAAGTTTTCTTAAAACTGGATTTTAAATAATTAATAACATTAGAATGGGATTAAGTGGACTCAAGAGAATTTGGGGGATGATTCGGGGCTTTTAAAACTGCATTGTGATGGTTGCACAGCTCCAGGGATGTACCATAAGTCACTGGATTGTACACTTAAGTAGGTGCATGTTAGGGTCTATAAATTATACCTGAGTAGAGCTATTTTTAAAGTAATCAGATAAACATAATACCGAGTGATAAGCTTTATGAAAACTAGCAGAGGGTGACGGTGGGGGCAGCTGATGGGATTTGAGTCATTTGATCGTTAGAATGTTGCTGTGCTTTGTTGAGCCTGGTTTTAAGTCCCTGTCTTTCCCGTCACAGTTGAGTGTCGGGCTCTAGCCTAGTGCCAGAGTGTGTGGTCGTGTGTGTGGACTTGCGGAGCCTGGATAAGTAACACCATCCTGCCCACAGGGAGTGTTTTCATTTTGCTGGAAGGACGTTTCAGCACTCTTCTCCTTCCTCCTTTCTACCCAGACAGAAATGCACTTTTGACCTAGCTGAGATGCAATGCCTCAGGAACACTCAGGACGTACAAGGCTTAAAGATTTTCCTCTTTCTCTCCCAAATCATCACACATAGTTCTGCAGGACACAAGTTAAATCTCCACATAGAGCACAGATGCCCTGGGGCTGGCCCCGTGGCATAGTGGTTAACTGCATGCGCTCTGCTGCTGGTGGCCGGGGTTCGGATCCCAGGCGCACACTGATGCACCACTTATCAGGCCATGCTGTGGTGGCGTCCCATACAAAGTGGAGGAAGATGGTCACAGATGTTAGCCTAGGGCCAATCTTCCTCAGCCAAAAGAGCAGGATTGGCGTGGATGTTAGCTCAGGGCTGATCTTCCTCACAAAAAAAAAAAAAAAAAAAAGCAGATGCCCTGAAAGCCCGCAGTCTGGGGCCACTCCATCCACTTTCCCTTGTTAATACCCTCGACTTCTGTCAGTGCTCTTCTGGACACTGGCATTCGCCAGCTGGATCTGTGAGTGAGCTCAGGTCCCAGCCCGCAGCTCTGAGGGAGGGGGCTGGCGTCAGCATGCAGCGGTGGAGCTGGGGACATCCAGGAGGCGGCCAGGCTTAGGCAATTTCTGTTGAAACCTCGAGTTGTGAAGTGCCCCGTTTTGTCTGTCAGTGGAGCTTCCTGTGTGGGCTTTAAACGGTCTGGACATCGGAGTAACGTAGATGTGTTTGTCTTTTCTTCTAGCATCTGGGGACGGAGAGTCACTGGTAAGATCTGTGTTGTCATCACAGTCTCTTGTTCTGCTGTTAAGTCTTTATTTCCTGAGTAGTTGCCTGCTTTGTTTTTAATTCGTTCCTGCTCCCTAAAAACCTGGGATTAGTTTGTGTCACTACACTGTGGGTGGGCAAAGGGGTGGATCCCACTGGGGTTCAGGGCAGGGCAGCTGTTAGTCCCGCCCACCTTGTGCAAGTGGCTCTCCATGGAGCCATGGGCCCCACACTTTCCTGCTTTCCCTGCCTTCTCGTGCTGGTGGTTCCTCTAAAGCTGCTTAGCCTCGTAAACGGCTGTCGCCCAGCAATGCCAGCATTGGTGCTTCAAGTCAAGTTACCAGAAGTAGGGGGCAAGGTGTGGGTAAGAGAATGTGATGTCTATCCCATTGAAACGAGTTAACATGTAGGTTTTCCCTTTCAGGATGAAGATTCCGAATTCACATTAGCCTCCGACTTTGAAATTGGACACTTCTTCCGTGAGCGGATAGTCCCTCGGGCTGTGCTCTACTTCACGGGGGAGGCCATAGAGGATGACGACAATGTATGTGGCTTGGGGCAGCTGCCCCTGGGTGCTTACCTCTGCTGGTGCAGAGAAGTCCTGAGTGGTGGCTGGGAAACCCGAGGCTGAGATTTTTATTACGTCCTCCACCAGATATGTGGTGCGCAACTGGTGTTTGGGGGGATGTAGACTGGGAAGAGGAAAAATGGCACAAGTGGGAGAAGCAGGTCTCTCTGAGGCAGTCTCAGAGCAGAGTACCAGTCATCTGTGTCAGCCCTGTCCAGTGACTCGCTTCATAGTATCCTCTAAAGACCCCAGGGGCTCACTGTGTCCTGCTTCAGGTCTCTAAGCTTTGGGTGACTCCTAAGCATGAGGAGAATCTCATTCACAGAGGTCTGGACACACCAGACGATTATCAGCAGAGCCAACTTGTGCTTGCCTTAGTGTATCAGCCCCAGAGAAGTAGAAACCCATGCTCCACAGGAAAATGATGACACTGTGCTGGCCACTTCTCTCTCTGCTTGAAGGAAACGAGCCCTTCCAGTCAGCACTGGGAGCACAGCCCCTGTGCACAGCCTAGCCACTGTCCTCTGACTGTCACTTGGGACAACTCTCCATCATAACCAAGGCTTGGGTTGCCACGAGTCTCCATGATTTGTGGAAGTAAAGTTTTGTAGCATGTTACTGAAAGCATGGTTTAGATGATATTTATTCCCTTGCTTTTAGAGCTCTTAGGTTTCCTGGATGCTTCTAGGTTTCCTTTCTCATCAGGTCTGTTGGGGCTGGGGACAGGGTGGCAGGAGCTGGCCAGGTGTGGGTTGCTCAGCACCCCAAGGCCAGGAGGGCATGCTTCTCTGCACACCTCTCCATCGTGCTGGAGGTCCCGAGCTGGGGCGGGCCGGTCCAGTGTGTGTGAGCCGTGGAGTCTGAGACTGCTTAATCTCTAAAGTGCTGTTTGTCCTCCCTAGGTTGGGAGGTGGTCGTGGGCGTCAGGAACCGTGCATACACCACTCAGCATGGTCGGGGGCAGGGTGTCATTTAAGGACTCAAGTGGTTGTAAGACTAAAGTTTTAACAAGTGCTGGTTACACTGCAAATTCTAGACCAGCACTGTCTGGTAGAACTCTCTGTGACAATGGAACCGTCCTCTGCCTGTTCTGTCCAGTGCAGTAGGGCCGTCCCCACACGCCGCATGAAGATTTAAAATGAGGCTGTTGGCAACTGAGGAACTGAGTGTTTAGTTTAATTTAGCCAAAAGAGATCTAGTGGCTGCACACATTAGAAACTCATTTCTAGACCAGTGGCCTCCAAATTTTTTTCATCATACACCTATCAATTTAAAAACTTGAATACGCAGCCTATGCATGTTTATTTACTTATGTGCACGTAGGTACTGCTAGTGAGCAGTACAGTGTATTTGCTGCTAATGTGTGTAGACAGGTTCACTCACGATACCTCCTGTGCTCGCACTGCTGGTGAGCAGTGTAGTTAGGGGACAGTGGTGGGAGCTCACGGCGGACTGGAGTCCCCGCTCTCCCACTTAGCAGCTGTGTTACCTCTGTGCTTCAGTTTCCTCAGCTCTGAAATGGAGTTAATTGTAACAACTCGAGGGATTTGTCAGGCTCTTGGAACAGTGCCTGGCAGCGTAGTTACTCAGAAAGTGTTGGTATAAGGATTAATTTACTGACGGTAGGTACGTTAGAAAGCACATGCAAACACTGGGGGTTGTTGCAAGATATGTGGGTTTAGGGGTCTGGTTTTGTCTCTCACACTCCCCTGGGTCACCTTGCTCAGCCTGTGGGCTGTGCACCCCACCTTGGAACCCCTGCTGTACATGAGAGGGATGCATTTGAAACAGGAGCCTGCAGCGCCCACAGAGCTCTCTTAAAAGACGGGTGCAGGGTGAAGTGATGTACTTGGACCAAGCCTCCGAGGTTGGCCCTTGAGCGTGTTTGGGGCTAGTTGCAGTCTGACCTGAAATGCTGAGAGAGTCTTATTGACCACGAGACACGGAAAGGTCTTTTCCCGTCAGGCTGTTAGGAAGCGAAGGAAAGGGTGCCGGGAGTAGTCAGATCCACTGAGGCTATGCCCAGTGGTGGGAGGGCTGCAGGCTGGACCTGGTGTCCGAGACGGTGCACCAGCACCAGGACTTTTCCAGGTCCCCTTGAGTTGTCTCAGGAATGCGTGCATGGGCTCCAAAAGAGAAGGGTTTATGAGAAAAAGCCTGCTGACTCTTCACGTACCTTGTGTCATGCATCAATAGTGATGAGGTTTATTTTGTTTTGTTTTTCGTTTTGACACCGGTCTGATGTTTGGAACTTGAATGGGAACCTGACCAATGATGTCTGTGGATGCGGGAGAAATTCACTAAGACCAATCAGCGATAGCTTTGGAATTTCTCCCTTGCACACTTTAGTTCTGACTTATTTTAAAGTTGAACACCACAATTTTATTATATTTCTTATGCCAAAATAAAGATTTCCCCTTGTATGAGATATAAAGTGATATCTCAATTCCTATTTGTAATAAAGTTATGCTACTGGTTTGCTGAGATCAGCCCATTTCCAGTTGGACCCAGTGCACAAGCAAGCCAACCGTCTCCTTTCTGCACCCCTCCCTGTCCTCAGTCCTTGTTTTGGGTGGTTTTCAGGTACCTGGCACTCTATCACGACAGCAGGGCTTGGGAGCAAATAGCCCCACACTGCTGCTCCCAGCCCCATCCGCAGTGTCAGGGCCCAGAGGTGCCCAGCAGCAGACTACCCCCGGGAACTGGGCTCTGGAGCAGGTGCTGCCCTTGGCTCAGAGGCCGAGCTGGACTTCCTGCGTCCCTTGAGCCTGACCGGTGGGCATTTGACAGGGACTGTCTGGGTTAGGTTGCTGTAATGCTTTATAAACCTAAAAATGTGTTTCCTTTTTTTTCAGTTTGAAGAAGGGGAGGAAGGAGAAGAGGAGGTAAGACATGGCTTCTGTGAAGCATCATCATTTCCGCGAGGTTGCGTCAGGCCATCTCTGCTTGAGTGGACAGAGGTTATGACACCACGGGACCGTGTTATACCCATTTTCTGTGATGCTGCCTTTGAGGCTTTCAGCCCCATTGAGCACTAAGGAAAGGCATGGTGGATGCTGTCCAGCATCCAGTTTTTGACCCTGCTATTGGCTTCTGAAAATGCATCTTACAAAATGGCCATTTAACAGACAAAATCTACTTTTTCAGCAATATGTTTATTTCACGGTGATCTGTGAGAGCAAAAAGATACCCAGAAATAATTATGTGTCCAAAGGAAGTGATTTAATCAATTATGGATAGTAGTAATTGATTTCCTTCTAAATCGAAGTATTACTTTAATTTGTTTGTGGCTGGTGGATCCACAAGAATATACATCTTGTCTGTTCAGCTAATTCTCACTTCTTTTAACACAGGAATTAGAAGGTGACGAGGAGGGAGAAGATGAGGATGATGCCGAAATTAACCCTAAGGTTAGTTATTTGGGGGCTTCCCAAATCTGTGCTGCACTGTTGAGCTTTTCAGGTGTGTTTCCTGCTCCGAGACAGGAGTGTTAGGAATATGTTCTTGTCGTTCTCTAGTTCGAAAGCTTAAAACGTGTCAGAAAAAACTTGGATGAGGAACTATTCAGACATCTTGTATATGATTTGAGTATTAAGTATAAATATGCAGTAAAATGTTTTTCCCACTCTTTCTCAAGCTGTATCTTATTTATATAAATTTGTTCAGTCGAGCCACATTATTTTCCAGATCTTTAATTCTTCTCAGATAATGATATAACTGACAACATGAGGAAACATTTTTATTTTGTGTGTTTATTTTTGGAAAAGATGCAAAGAAGGAACTTTTGGGAGGTTATTCTTTTTTAATGTAGAATAATGGAATTGTAGGCATAATTTTACAGTTGTACGTGGGCTGAGAATACTCAGAAGATAATGTCTAGATATCTCAGATAATTTAAAATAAACTAGGAAGCTTTGCTTAAAAAAAAAACTGAGAAAAATGAGTGGGCAACTTCATGAATTTTACCTGTGTCTGGATTTGTACTTATCATCTCGATTAGCTTACATCAAGGCACTTTGCCATTTGACACGTAATTTAATGGACAGTTCACTGCATCCTAGAGTTAGATACACCATGGCTGTCAGAGAACTAACACTCCTGACGTTTTATAATGTGTATCTCAATTTAACTTCTCGTTGTTTGTTTTTCCCCCATTTTTGCCCAAAGTGGAATGTGCACTAAGCTGTCAGTGTAATAACTGATTCTGTGATCCGTGTATTAACACCAGATGTTTCTATAAATGCATGCTCACAGTTTTACTTCCTTCTGGGGAAAGATAGGAGATGGTTTAAAACTTAATTCAGTGTGCCATATAAATCCCACTCTGGGAATTGGCTCATGGAAATGTTCATTTTGACAAGGTCTGCCTGTCCATCACGGGATAACTGTATTGAAAGCATACCTGTGCTCGGTGATGAGTGGTGAGGGGCGAGAGACCTGGGGCCCTGCGTGAGTGGATCGCACGTTGGTGGGCAGGGGATTGAGGGGTGTCCGTCAGTTGACAGAGCTGGGCAATGATGACCCCTTACACTGCCATGCCTAAGTCCCAGCTGTCATATCTGGCTGTTGTTCTGCTCTTCTGGGCGCTGATGCACACATTCCTGGTTTGGATTCTAGAACAGAGGCTGAGGATGGTTTGTGGTGTCTACTTCCACACTCAGATGCACTGTCTGTCTTGCGTTACTGGCAGCGGGTGGTCCCTCCCTCCGTTTCTTGTCGTTTCCTTCTGTCTGTCCTCTTCTCTGTCCTTGCCAACCCTCTCTCTCCTCTCACGTGTCAGTTTTCTAGAAGAGCATTCTCACCAAATGATCACAAATAGCTGGAGAGGAAGTAGAGAATCATCAGTACTAACCCTTCACGGCATCTGCCATTGGTCAGTTGGTGGGAGTGGGTGAGAAGTGACGGCAAGTGAGCAGGGTCAGCGGTGTGACGTGCTGTGGTCACACAGTTGGAAGGACCCGAGTCTTGTCCTTGGGGTCGGGCTGTGACATTTCTGTTCGTTCATATGCACCTCCTCAGAGGGATTTGTCACGTTCGAGTCTGTACAAGCAAAGGAAAATAAGGAAGAAAGAATGTTTTGGTATTACAGGTACAGAGCTGGTGGTGGACATTGCTTATCTCAGGGTCGATATTTTGCAGCCTTTGGTATCATGAGAAATTGTGGCTCTTTCCTCCTGTATAATTTTGTGTATTTCATTTTCTTTCATGCTGACAGTTCCTTTCCATTTTTTTCCCCGTTTAGGTGTAATTTTTGTCTGTTAATCATTCATACGTTTCTAGGTAAGGTGGAATTCCATTTATTCCTAACTTCCAAACTTCTGCCTGTGCTGTATACGATGCCTTGCCGTGCCTTTGTGGATGCGGAGGGTGTTGCCATCCATGCGCACTTGGTGTGTGCTGGGCTGGCCCCAGGCTTTCTGAGGAGCAGTGTCTCTGTGCAGGTGTCTGCTGAGTGTACTTTTAAAACCAACTGATAGGAACTACGTTTGGCTCCTCTTGCCGAGCCCAGTGTTTCTGCTAACCAAGCAGCAAAGATGTCACTGGTGTGGCATTTTTACTGGTAGCAGGATTGTCCTCCTGGAAGGGGACAGAATGAGAGGGCCCGGGGAGGTGGACAGCCTGCAGGGTGGCACATGTCAGCCAGTGATGCAGTGCCGGGATCAGCCACTCACTGTGGCAGTAGGAATCGGCCCCCTGTGAGTTTTCTTGACGTGTATCTGTTGACTGTTTGTACTTTTTAAATTCTGGTGTTGGGCAGACCAATAGGTAAAAAATGGGTAACTGAACTTTTAATGTGTCAAAAGTTTTCATCTAAAAAGCTGCTGGCATCTGTTTTGTGTAAGCATGAACACGTGCTGTGCTGAGGTTCCTGAAGATGTTCTGACTGAATAAGAAAAGAACCAGCTGTAGATGTACGTGAGCGTCAGCAAGCTGAGGGGCCGCCCTCCCCACCGCGTGGGTCAGCGTGACTCGGCTCCAGTTGTGAGGTCCCTCCCTCCAGGGACACTGCCCACCTTTGCAGGATGTGAGGGCATCGTGGGGCCGGGAGAAAGGTGGGAACAGGAGATACTGTGAGAAACCACTGTAGTAATAGTAATACCTGGGAAATAGCGGGGGTTCCACATGTGGCGCTAAGGAGGCAACCGGTTCATAAGAGCAGGGCTTGTGAGAGTCAGAGCTTTATCTCACCGTCGCAGATGGTCAGTTAGGGCCCCAGGCTCTGAGCGTCTGTCTGCATTGCCTTCCTCTCTTCCTCGAGTGCACCCACTTTCACAGAGATCTAACAGGCAGGGGGGCAGACTTGGGCTAAAGGAAATGTGTTAATTAGAGGAAATGAACCAGCGCCTGGGATCTTGTGTGCTTTAGAGGGGCAGGTCAGATCATTTGCTTGCATATTTAACATTGTCTAATTGCTCAAATTCCTGCTGCTCCGCATGTCTAAGGACTTATCAGCCAGGCTTGTTACACCTGAAGCCGCACTCCTCCCCTACCCTGCCAGTCACTTTGAAGCATCATGCATAAACGGTCCAGCCTGTATCTCCAGGAGAGGAGGACTCTCCTCGGGCATAACCACAATGGTACCATCACACCCGAGCAGTGTTCTCGGCATCTCTTTAGTGTCATCAGCTTCTCATCGGGGTTCAAGCTTCTCCAGTGGAGGAGGCTGTTCCCTCTGCAGTCGGGCGGGCTCTTGGGACTGGGGCTGCGTGTCCCTGTGAAGCTGTGGTCCTTCAGCGTGTGCTTGGTGGCTTGTCTTCACCCCTTCTCAGGGCAGTTGTCACCTCTTGAAACACTTCTTTTAAGTAGTCCCATGATGGGTGAGGTTTTGGCTATTAGTTTGTGCCTTTGAAGCACCGACTCCTCTCCCTTGATGATCGGTAGCGTGGAGTGACCAGGCTGTCATTAAACTTGGTGACATGGAACAGGATGCTGGGGTTTATTGCAGTTTTGTCATGGCCCTTGGCACAGGGCGAAGACCATTGATGTCTCATTGATCAAGTTCACCTCAGAGGCCCCAGGGTTCGCCGTTAGCGTTACAGCCCGGGAGTTGTGTCCGTGTGGACGCTCCCCAGAGGTGGGTCTGCACACGGTCCTCAGAAGGCAGGTGTGCCAGTGGGCTGCCCAGCCCTCTCCCCTCCTGGTGAGATTTCCCTTCCTCCCTCTCCCTCTGAGCACAAGGTCCCTGTCTGGCTTCTCGTGCTTGTGACAGCCCCTCTCCTGGTCTTGGTTTTAGTGAGGACCCCTTCCCTCCAGCGGTCTTCACCCAAGTTATTGATTTTATTTTAAACAAGTAGATAATACATTCTCCTCATTAAAAATATATATGATGGGCCGGCTCCGTGGCTTAGCGGTTAAGTGCGCACGCTCTGATGCTGGCGGCCCGGGTTTGGATCCCGGGAGCGCCCCGAGGCACCACTTCTCCGTCCAACGCGAGGCCGAGTCCCACGTACAGCAACTAGAAGGATGTGAACCTATGACATACAACTATCTACTGGGGCTTTGGGGGGAAAAAACTGAATAAATAAAATCTTTAAAAAAAAAAAAATATATATATATATATGATACCATTGAAACAGCACACTGTAAATTGTATAATACATTATATATGTCTAATTTACATATATAGAAAGATGTAGCGTGGAAAGTCCCTCCCATCCTGTACCACCTGCCCCAGCTCCCACACATCACCCTACAGACCCTCGCTTCACCTCTGACCCACTTCTTTTGCAAATGCAATTATGGAAACACACTTCTCCGCCTTGTACACAAAAGGTGGCACACCGCTTTCCCATGTCTGCTGCCGTTGCTGCACCGAGCCTGGGGCGTCTCTGCTCGTCCCCAGTGAGTCTGAGCCAGTGCCTGATCCCCTTGGCCACAGTTGGGGCCGCCTCCAGGTCTACCCTTGAAATGGCGGAGCTGGATTGTGCTCTTTTTCGGCTAGGATTTCTGGACGGGGTGGTTATTTTGGTGCCTGGCTCTTTGGCAGGGTTTCAGATGATCGTGTGGCGGGCAGGTGCTAGGGCAGGGCCCCCTCCCAGAATGACCTGCCATCGGCCCACTGCTGGGTGGAGACCCGGGGCCACGCCCAAGGGTTCCGCTTGTCCCTGTGCTCCTCCTGCTCCACGTACAAATAGCCAGCTTAGACCAGGGCCCAGGCTTATCATTTTATCTTTATGTAACCTTTACACATCATTTTTTCATCCCTTAAATCATTTCCTAAAGAGGGAACTGTAGCCACGGTTTGTACCACGGGAGGTGTCAGTTATGTGTCCCAGGTGCTTCTCTGAACCAGCTGGTGCAGATTTTCTTAGACTCTGTAGACGCCACGTTGTCTTCAGTCATTTGTCGTCTTAGCAGCCAAAAGTCACAGGTTACTGAGGACTACATTTATTTGCTCGAGAGTCTTAGTGAAATCATTATTTCTCAGGCCATTGCTGGCCTCCATGCAAAATTCCTGGAGTTGGTGAATGCGGCGTGAGTGATGTGAGACGTACACATTAGATTGTGTTGAAGCGAACCTGCCCTTCCATGGGGGACGGTCTCTGATACCTTTTCTAGAAGGGTAGAATTCCAGCTCTGCTGGAGACTCCTGGGAGGATCGGGGGCTTCCTGTGGAGCTCTTGTAGTGGCTCTCGTCACTTGTTGTTGCAGTGTAGGCTGCTCGGGTGTGGATCCAGTGGCGTGCTCCCGTCAGCAGAGAGAGCGGCTCCTCCTGAGCATCCAGGCTGGCCTCTCTGGGGACAGGTGCGCTCCGGGATCAGGCAGGGCCTCCCGGCTGCCTCTGGTCTGCACCGGAACAGGAGCCTTGGACGATTCCAGTGTTGAGCCTGTCTTAGAGGTGGCGGGGAATCAAAAGGGGAGCGTGCAGCTGTTTGATGTGGGCAGGGGTGTGTGTGCCCCGAAGCTCCTGAGGCTGCGTTCCAGCTTTGGAACACGGGCTCTCTTGTGTATTTCATTCATCTCTGCGACCGGGGAACCCCTCCCCTTGCCCCTGAGACCCTCCTGCTGAATATGCTGTGAATTACAATGTCATTTAAACAAAAAAGCAGCCCTACTATGACTTTTTTCCTGGAAAGTTAGCATATTTTTTGTTACTATTTTAAAAGTACATTTGCAGTAACTTTTTTCAGTAAGAATGAATGAAATAAGTCTTGGTTTTCATTTGGTTGGAGGTATTTGGTGATGAAATTGATTGATTCTCTACAAGTCTTGTCTTCTCTCGTGACAGAAGGAGCCCAGCCAGCCCTCAGAGTGCAAACAGCAGTGAGGAGCAAGCGCACCTCTCCGGCGTGGCTGCTGCCTGCAGATGCCTGGCGGGACTCGGCACGGCTGCACGCGGTTGGATTGGCAGCGCTTATGTCTAACTCGTTTTCAAGTGCATGATTTTCACTTTCACTTTTCCTTTTTCTTTATTATTTTGCTTAACCTATACAGTGGCAACTTAAATGCATTTCAGAAATAGGAGGTTTAATGCCAGCACCCTCTATGGTCTTGGGTGCAGCTCAGTGGACTTTCCCAGGTCCTGCCTTGGGGAGGGCCTTGCAGACCACGTGGGGGTGGGGGGTAGAAGGTCACCGACGCCAAGGACAGATGCCTGGGGCTGTGGTTCCAGGGCACCTTGAATCCATTGACACCACTCCCGCATCGGACTGATTCTCCTTTCATTTGAAGAAACCCACATGCTTTGTCTCCAGCCACTTGATGTTCTGCACTCTCATCGCCTCCAGGGGCTGGTAGAGTAGGTCCTGTGCCCCTGAGAGTGTCTTTCTTTGGTTTTATTGTCCTCGGGGGGGGGGGGGGGTGCACACCGACCCTGAGGCATGAGCTTTGTGGTTCATCCTCGTATTTATTTATTCTTTCATACTTGTGAGGGCTTGGGACACCTGCTATTGCTCGTCCTTAGAGTTTCTGAAACCATGTTTGTGACTAGAAACCTGGTGACTTCACCAGGAAGAGGTGGTGGTGGCCCCTACAGGAGCCAGGCCTGTGTAGAAGAAACCATGCTCCTTCCTGCCTCCAGCTGCCGAGGCAGGAGCTTGTTTTCATGACATACAGACCACACTTAGCTCTGAGGACCGGGGGTGGTGGGCAGAGCCCAGGATTTACCTGGTGGTGAGGGGCTCAGGTGGGGAAGTATGGCTTTTCCATTAGTGTTAAATGTCGAGTCTTCCTTTCTCAGTAGCTCCCATTTCTTGGCCCCACATTCATCTTGTCTTAAAAGCCCTGGGTTTGGAGCGACCTGTTCTTGGCTGGGTTTCCGAGTGTGTGACCGTGGTCTCTGGCAGCTGGGGGACGGTGTGTCCACACTGTGACCAGGCCTGTAGAGTGCTCAGCCTTACTTATGATACCTTTGTAACTGAATACAGTGTTTTCAATTTGTACAGAATAGTTAGAATATTCTATTAAAGTTGTGAAACATGAATCCAGCACTATGCACGGTCTTTCTTTGTAGGAGAACCTGGTGGGAGGAGCGGGCGGGGCCGCTGGCGTCTGCTCCTCTCCTGCCGGCGCATGGACGTGGTTGCACACCCTCTTGGACGGTTTCCGCAGAGCCCTGGGTGTGGGCAGATCCAGAGCTTCCCGTCTTCTGGTTTTCTGACTTGTTTTTGAGGCTTTTACATCCAGTTTTTTAGAAAGAGGCTATGTTTAGTTTGCCCATTAGGCCTGCACGCCCACTTCACTGGTGGGGTGGTCTGGGGTCCCCGGATGGGCAGTTTGCTAGCTGGGGAAAGCGTTTGCTCCTGCCCCCAGGAGACAGTTGTTTCTCAGAGTTCGTGAGGCTGTGCCTTTTAGGTCCAGAAGGTCCCAGGAGGGGAACTTCCCGAGTTTGATCTGTCTTCTCGCTGGTGCTTCTCTGGTGCCTCCTTCTTTCACGGGAGGGAGAACTGCTCCCAGAAAGTCCTGCTGCACAGGCTTCAGCTCCAGCTCCTGCCCGTGGGCCTCCTCCCTTGGAGGGCCGCCTCGCCGAGAGGAAACGAGCACAGAAGGCAGGCATGTGGCTGGCCCGCTCCTCACGTGGCCCAGGAGCCTGTATCCAGTTTGCCTGTTGCCTGCCTGTGGAGCTGGCTTCTCCCTGTGGTGGCCAGAGGGGAGAGAGCACTTGTGGCCACGAGAAGATGCAAGAAGGGCCGGACAAGGCTTAGGAATAAGCACGCTTTCGTTGTGCCCAAGACAAGCGTAGAGCCAGACATTCTCTGTCCCTAAAGTCCCCAGGCGAGCTGGCCCGTGGGTGAGCCTCGCCCGGGCCTGATGCAGCCCTGGGCTACTGAGATGGGGTGAGGAGCTTAGGATGCCAAGGGCGCCTTGTTCTGTGTGACTCAAGGGGCATGCTGCAGTGACGATGGCCCCGCACACTGCCCCCTGTTCCCTGGGAGCCGGGAGCACCTCTTGAGGATGGTCCAGGGAGCTGCCCATCACTGCGGACCCTGACTAGTCAGGGCTCCACAAGGTCTCTTAAGTGTCGCGTTCATGAACCTGTTGATAACAGTCATGAACCTGTTGATAACAACGTCGTTTACAGGTAACTGAAGGATCTGAAATGATTGCACAAAGTGATGTGTTTGGGTAATGTGCAGGGTGTTCACAGGCGCGGTTTTAGTGCTGGGAGCATCTGATTTGGGCTGGTTCAAGGGCCGCTCTGAGAGTGACGTTCCAGGGGAAGCCTCCCTCCTGCTGGCCGCTGGTCTGGTCCTGACAGCCGTCAGTTACAAAGCAGTGGCACCCCTCTTAGGCGCGTGAAAGATGCTGGGCCTCGCTGAAGAAGTGCAAGTCAAAAGAGAGGCTGTTTTTCTTCTCTCGATTGGCGGCAGTGAGGAGTTTGGCACCTCAGTGTGATGAGAGCCTGAGAAAACGGGAGACGGAGGAGTGTGAACTGTTGAAGCCTCTCTCTGGGCAGCTTGTAAGGCTTCAGAAAAGGAGGCACGTGTTACCTGTGACATGAATGCACGCCCTCGTGTGTGTGCACAGCGTCTGGACAGCATGTGCTAAAGCAGTTTGAAATGGCCGAAGGGGGCGGGAGCCCCCTCGCTTCCCCAGGAGACTGATTGGATTAATTCCTGTGCACCCACGGTGGACTTGTAGCCACTAAGAACCAGGGTGCTCGTGCCAATGGGGAACATGCTCTGGGGTGTGTTATTGAAGGCAGGACTTGTGTAGGTGCCCTGCTGTGAATGCGTGTGCATACGTGTGCATGCGTGTGCACATGGTGATTACATTTGGAGGCTACAGGCTAAACAGGAAGTTGGGGAGAGCAGCTGGGGCCCCGGGGGGTTGGGTGGGAAGGAAAGTTAGACTTTGATTGGACCCCTCTCTGTGGTCTCCTGATGAACTCTGATGTAGCGACTAGACAAAACGTGTTTACGTCAAACCAACACAAACGTGGCAAAGGGAGGGATGTTTCGATTGTGCCTCTTTAGAGGCATTGGGTTTTCTTGCCCCTGTGGGATAAGAAGAGTGTGCAAGGATGCCACACTCACCTGGGGGCTCCAGGACCTCAGGCTGCCACTTGGTTGTCCCAGGTACACGTGGATAGTAAGACCCCAGCTCGAGGCCCTGAGGCTGTGTCTTCCCTGACCATCCACTGTGGCGCTGCCTCTGGCCTCGGCTGGCACCAAGGCCTGGCTGTCAGGGGGTCCTCTGACCTCCCCACAGCCATGTTCCCTCCTGCTTGAGCCCCAGCACCTTTGAGGCCCCTGCATCTCTCACCCCTGAGCGGTCACAGGAAAGGGAAGGTGGTCCTCCAGTGGCCAAGGAGCTTGGACCCGCCCCTTTGCACTTGCCTGCTCACAGGACCTCAAGGAAACTGCAGAGGCTCCAGGGGCTCATTTAGTCCTTGCCACTTGTGCTGGCAAGTCACGGGCGGCCAGGAGGTTTGTCCAGAGCCACCAGCCAGGAGGCAGCAGGGAAGGTGGCCCTCGCAGCAGCTCTGAGTGGTCGCCTGGGCCGGCTATGTGTGGGAGCTGTAGCTTCTTGGCCCAGGCTACTGCTGCCACAAGACCCCAACACTGCCCACTGGGCAGAGGGTTGATGGCCAGGCCTCCCCGCCTCGGCCCCAGCCCCACTTTGGGGCCCTCCTCTGGGTCCGGTCATCACAGTGCTCCTTTCCGAGGGTCAGGGTGGGTGTCCAGGGCCACGTCCCATCCATGTGGCCTCCGCTGCCCCCTGGCTCCTTAGTTAACTCTCCCTGGGCGACTGTTGTTTGAGCTGCAGGGTCTGGTTCGGTGCCTCTCTCAGGGCCCAGGTGTCATCTGACACACACGACCATGCCGGCTGAGAGACTCACTCAAAACAAAGCGAGTGACTGGGCCCGGCTGCCATTTCTGAGTTCCCTCCTATGCCAGCCTCAGCACCCCGACTCGTCGGAGGCACTCGGTCCGACCCCAAGGCCTGGGGGAATCTGGGGGGCAGGAGCTCCCGAGGTGGTTCAGATGCTCCCGCCCGTTGCCAACAGAGGTGTGGGCATCGCAGTGGCTGTGCACCCCCACAGCAACAGGAACCTGACAACACGGGATCTCGAAGGCATTGACTGAAGAAGCAGGCACAAGGGAGGACACCAGCAGACCTGTTTTTGTGACTTCTAGAACCTGCCCGGTGACAGCAACAGCCACTACCTGGGGGAGCCGGGCTGACCAGGACACCATCTAGGAGTAGTAGTTACAGGAGTGGGTGCATTGGTCAGGCTCGTGGAACTCCCTCACGTGGGTGCGTTTGGTTGTATGTCTGTAAGTTATACCTCAATGAAGCTGATTTTTCAAAAGCCCCCCAAGTTGGGGTGGTTCCACTTAAAACTCTGGTTTTCCCTTTTAAGGGTCGGGGGTTGTGGCCACCCAGGGCCTGGCGTGGGCTGAGGTCTTCTGGGCCCCTGTCTTCACCTGCAGCAGGTGGTGGGCGAACGGCTCAGCAGGTGGCATGTCCATGCGTTCCCCAGTCTGCAGTGTCGCCCTGCTCAGTCTGCAGCGCCACCCTGCTCCGGTGGCCAGTCTGCTGTGTTGGTTCGTGGCTCCCATTTTATAGGGCAGGGGCCCAGCGGTCTGCTCCCAGGCATCAGGGCTCCCTCTCAAGTCTCAGGCCATCACAGGGCCCAGCTGAGTTAGAGGGTGCTTTTGCCTGGGGGAGGCCCACCAGGCCTTGGCCTGGGGGTGGGAGACCACGCTGAGGTGGGGGGGGTGCCCTTGGCCTCAGCAGGGACTGTCCTGGTGGTGTTAACTGACCTCTGACCTGCCCTCGGAATATGTGTCGTTGTCCCCTCTCCATCCCCCCCCCGCCCCGGTCCGCCCCCCAGAGGGCAACAGGAACACTGGGTGGGCTGCAGAGGAGACCTGGGGACAGGCGGTGGGAGAAGCGCCCTCTGACCTGGCCACCTCCAGCTGCGTGCCCTGAGGAAGCTGACTGCCAACCACGCTCCTGGTTGAAGAAGGGGCTGCCCTGGAGGCTGAGGCGCTACTGAGTCCTCCAGCATGGGCTGCCCTTGGCTCCCGTCAGCCAGCCCGCCCGCCCAGCCATTCAGCACGGCCACACCTGGACTTTGGCCCCTGCCTCAAAGCCCTTCTGAGTAGAATGACTTCCCAGCTTCCTCCTGTAGAGGCAGACACCTCCTCCTCACCCCAGCCTCAGGGAGCATAGCCACGTGGGGGGTGGGAGCCCGAGGGACCTCAAACCCAGCCATGTGGACCCCGCCCGTCAGGAGATGCTGGCAGGCAGTGGCCCCCAACAGCAGGGGCTCCAGGACCCCTCAGGCTGGCCCTGGCTGAGCTTTGGACTCCTGAAATGGTGTGATTCTCCAGCACCTTGTCAGCCTGGGAGCCACTGTCTCAGGTTGTAGGCTGGCTCCGGTGAAAGCCTGGACTCCGGCCAGGCACTGACCCTGGAGACCCCTGTCAGCCCTGCCTCCTCAGCTGCCGGGTGGGTGAGGCCCGGACCACCCCCCAGTCTAAGTCACCTTAGTACACCTGGGCGGGGCCCTGCCCGCCCCCGAGATGTCACCACTGGGCCAGTCATTGGGCCAGCCTGGCTGCGCTGACTCAGCTCACCGAGGGCGGTGGCCGGATGTTACTTTCCGTGACGATCGAACAGGCCTGGCCTGGCCCAGCTGGGCTCCAGGCCTCGTGGGGTCTGTGGCCCAGGAGAAACAAATAGGGCGGACCCCACTGACACACCCTCTGTGGGCTCCTTCCTCCCACTGGGCTGGGGGCTCCCCCCGGGGCACCTCCAGCAGTCTGGGAGCGTCGACCTAGTGTCTGAACCTCCCTGGGTCTCGGTTTCTGCCTCTGAGACGGGAGAACCATCACCTCCTGGTGCAGGCCAGGGCATCCGGGAGGGCGAGCCCTGGTGCGCGCGGCCGAGCTGCCCCCCTGCCCAGACCTGGGCATAGGTGGCGCTGCCCACGCCGGCCCTCCCCAGTGCCCGCCAGCTTGGAGCTGGTCT